GTTAAGTCATAGATTGAGAAAGTAAGGAAGATTTAGTCATACCTAAGATAATTTTTTGAAAATAAAAATGTAATCTCTCAAAAATACAAACAAATTCGTATGTTTATGGAAGAGTTTAAAGTAGTTAAAAATCTAAGAACGAAAAATTATAAACAAGAAATGTAAAATTAAATTAAAAACTTTGTGAAATCCTTTAAAAAAAACTTTGTGAAATAATTAAAAATATGTAAACTATTTAGTACTCCGTTGTATTTATGAAATAGTAAAAAAAACTAAAATGGTAATACATACAAAGTAAAAAATATTCAAAATTCAAATAAATACAATCCATATAAAGCATGAAAATATTCAAAAATTAAAATTAGAATTTATAAAGTGAATAAAAAGTATGAATTAGTAAATTTTAAAAATATCAGAAAATTAATCTAAAATATAAAGAATGTAAAATATATAAAGCTCGAAAAATAAGTATGTGAATTGTGAAAGCAATTAAAATATCAAACATGCACAAAAGTTTAAAAGGTAAAAAATATAAAATATGAATTTCATATTAATTTTTCTTAAAAATAGTTATAAAAAAAACTTGCATTATATTCATTAGCGTATTGTTATTCTTTAGCGTATTGTTTCATTGTGTTTCTTTTTGTTGATAACTACTTTTTTTATATTGTTTCTTCATGTTTCTTATTGTTTTTATATTCATAAACCCAAAATATCATTTTAGATGCTTGTGTGTATAAATTTTTGTTTTTTATTCCAAAGATAAATAGAAACCTAAATATACATAAAAAAAAATCAAAATTAACAAAAATCAAAATAGGCAACACAATGCAGCAATGAGCAACATGACCCAACATAAAGCAAAACGATGCAACAAAAGTCATAGGCTGATGTAAAAAAGATGAAGTGAAAAATGCATAAAAGTACCACAACAAATATATTGTTCTTTCTATGTTACGACGATTATATTATTTGACTTTATTCTTATCATTTCTTCTTATGCATTTCCACACGTAGTTTAATTTAATTCATCGTTTTAGACGTCATTCTCTTCAATCATTTGATGGAACTCTCGGTCTCTTTATCATCATGATCTTCATGTGCTTTTTTCATTTATGTACTTGTCATGGTTTTAAATTGCGATTGCGGTAGCGGTTGCGGTCATTGCGGTTGCGGCTAATGCGGTTGCTGCGATGCGTACTGCGGCCGATGCGGCGTGAAATATTTTTAAGTTTACACATAATGGGAATAAAGACTTTTTTTGCATTCTTTAACAAATGCATAGTTGTTAATTAATTATTAAGTAGTTAAGTTCATCATTAGCGTTGAAAAATAGTATGATGATTTTTTACATATGGTATGATGGTTTTTATGCAATGTTTAACCAATACGAAGTATATAGTACTCCCTTCGTTCCATAGAAAGAGTCTCACTTTCCTTTTTGAACGTCTCATATAAAGATTTTCATTTCCATTTTAGGCAACAATTAATTAACAATATTAAATGACAAATTAATCATTAAATATTAAAAACAATACATTTATAACATCACAGTTATCAACACTAACCCTATTATATTATATACGAAGTACCAATTACAAATATTTCTCAAAATATACTCGAACTACCTTATAATTATTGTCTAAATAATCATGTCATTTTGTCATAAGAACCTTTCAATGAGAGTTTACGAGACGTATGTAATAATAGTTATGTTTATTGCACAAAGTAGGGTTTGAAAATATATGATTGAGTAAATATAAATAGGGTGTACTAGATGATCGTTACTCATTAGTTTTTCTTATAATTATAATTAAAAGTAGTTAAATTTTAAGTTTGACTAAATAACTAAAGTAAAATAAATGAAACAATAAAATCACAAATGTTCATGTCCGGAATTCCGGACAGGAACCGCCGTCCAGACGGCGGCGTTTGGCCGCCTTCCCGGTGGCATTGTTTGATGTAATTTTTAAGACATGTTCTCCATCAAGTCTAGTTTATCCACAAAAAAATTCAGCCAAGAACTCATCGGGAAGGTCGTCAAATGATTTTTGCAAGTTAAATGGTCCGGAATATCATTTGATGACCTTCCCGAATGAGTTCTTGGCTAAATTTTTGTGTGGATAAACTAGACTTGATGGAGAACATATCATAAAAATTTCATCATTCCACCCGGAAGGCGGCCAAACGCCGCCGTCCGGACGGCGGTTCCGGTCAGGAATTCCTGACCGGAAGAGTACTCACAATAAATAAAATACCTAAACAACTAAGCAGCGCTTCAGCGGTCCAGCGGAGTAGTCTTTAGTTTGGGGAAGTGGATTGTGGAAACGTATTACGGAAAACAACGTTGTCGTTTATTTTTAGTTTTAGTTTTACGTATTTTCATTAATTTTTTCGTCCAATAAAACGTAGTCGTTTAGTAAGACTACGTTTAGAGAAATTAGACCGTCAACAACACCAGCTCCATCTTTACAATGTTGGGACTTCACCGGCTACATTTCAGCAAAAACAGAGCCGAAGAAGATAGGTCTCCTGAGCAGGATGCGGTGCCATTGCTGCTGGTTGCGGCCGGATGCGCTGCGATGCGGCCGGTTGCGGCCGGATGCGCTGCGATGCGGCCGGATGCGCCGCCGTTGCGGTCTCGTCGCCGTTTCGTTGCGGCTACGATGCAGTTTCCTCCGTGATTTGGAATCACACTAGTATAGCGGTCCGTTGCGGTTGCGGAGGGTGGCACAACCGCAATATTGAGGCCGAAAAGGCGTTGCAGACCGCAATTTAAAACCTTGGCACCTGTCATGAGAAATTGAGAATACATACATGTAATCCCTTGTCGGAGAATCAATTCCCTCCGTATTTTAAGGATTCATACATGAGGTTATGACACAAGATGTAACGGTGAATAGTATGGATAATGAAGAATAAAAATAATTACATAAATATGACCAAAATAAAGATTTACAAAAATATGACTAGTTACTAGAGTATTAATGAAATCATAATAATTCATGTTCAAATTTTGAACTTAAGTTACCACAACACTACGATATAGTAATGAATAGTCATATTTATGTAAATAAGTTTTATTTTAGTAATATTCTTGTAAAAAAAGTTTTATTTTATAATATTTCTTGTAAATAGTATAGACAAAGTAGGAAAGAGAGGATAAAAAGTAGAAAAATTAAGAGTAATTGGGTATTTTTAAAGGAAAAATTTACCAAAGAGATAAAATGCATGAAACTTTTATATACATTCCAAAATGGAAAGTGTTAGAAACTTTAAAATACGAATGGAATATTAAATTGATCCAAATTAGCAAAAAAGAACAAATTGATAAGTTACCTCTCTACACTCCTCGCGGCATGAGGGACCTTGGAAATGTCCTTCAATCTTAGACTTTAGTTTTGCACTTCTTCTAGTTCTATAGTAGCGCCAAACTGCCAACCATGGATCTCAAGTATGGCTTCTTATTGATACATCTCCTCCTCTTATTTAACTTCTCGTGGTGCTTCCTTTTTTATTAACCCCGGAAGGCCAACCATCAAAATCAGTGAGGTATATATCAGGGGCATTTACAAGAGTTTTATTAAAGATGAACAGAGTTCAAAACAGAAAGGGGGACCAGACCTAAACCTCTCAACAAAACCACAATCAACAACAAAACAAAGAAATGAATTAAAATCTAATAGAAGGAATCTAAAAAAGATCCGTATAATACGCCCGTCGGACCGAAATGGGCAAGGTTCCCAAGGTAGAGAAAATATTTTCCTGGCCCGTATGACTATGAGTCCAGTTCCCTTCACACAGTACATGTCCATAGTTATCCATAGTTATTGTCCCTCTTGAGGAGGGCAACTGCCCCCTCTGCTTCTCGTGGATACGCCATGAATGTAAAGTCTTTTGATCACATTTAGACACTAACGATTCTACCTCTTTCCACAATGAAAATCATTAATCCCTTCTCCTATCATTCAAAAAATGGTGCGACATTTTTTTTCTTCCCCGGAAGGTAAACCACCCATCAGTGGGGCGAATGCCGGGGGGCATTCGCCAAGATATTATTAAGACGATAACAAGTACAAAGAAGAGAAGGGGACTGAACCAAAACCTCTCAGAATGACAAAAGAAATGAAAACAAAGTTTAAAGTGAGACAAACTCATAGAGTCCATCTAAACAATAATATAAGGAAATGACGCATAATCCAAAATAAAAACCCCTGAAAGCTCTTTGGGCATGTTATCTCCCGGTCTCCAAGAAAAGGGCCGAGTCCAACCCATTTTGGCAACCAGATTAGCAGCCTTGTTAACCCGGGCCAGGCAAAAGTGAATAAAAGCCTCCCACGGAAGTTGGGCCGCATAATTGTAGCACCGCCCCATTATCTCCAAGCCACACACATCAATATTAACTTTCTGGAATTTAATCCACGACATTTAGTAATTTAAGAAATTCATAAAGTTTTAACGTTTGAAAGGGAATTTTGGTTCACCAATTATTGTGTTGTTGTGTGACGTAGTGGTTCTCGTTCAAATCTTGAGAGCGGGCTCTTGTTAAAATGACTAGAGAAGTCTTGCCTCATATGCATCATCCGTGTGATTAGAGGCGAATGGAACCCGGTCTGATCCTTGGTCGGTTCATGTCCCGAACTGATCAGTCCGAGTGATTAGGGCCGAGACCTTATTTACGGTTCTAGACAGCTTGTGGTTCTCTGGCAAGCAAACCTTTTTCAATCCGGTTCCATATTTTAAATCCTCACCACCCCCATACCAACCCTTTTTAGCTTTCAAATGATTCACAACTCCTTTAAAATATTTTAAATAATTCTTCTTGTACATCATTTTAAAATATTTACCTCAGTGCCGCAAAGGCTTCCACCTACGGTGGGGTAAAGATATATTTTAAATGATTGAAATGCAAAATATTGGGCTGAATGTAATTCGAATGCCAAATCCCAAAAAATAAACTTCAACATAAAATGTTTACCCAGGTAAGGTTTTGGACATTGACTTTCATTCATCTTGATGTTTAAGTAGGAATTGGAACATACCTCGACTGATATAACTTGTACGGAGTAGTAGTTATTACAGTACTTCCAAAGTAGCATTAACAGGTTTACAGCAAAACAATACTTATACTAAACTGGTAACTTGATAGAGTTTGTAGCGAAAACTAGTGTCTAACCATAATTGGCTACACTATCAAGAAATCATTGATAGAATTGAAATGATAGCAATTAGCAAATGCCAAACACAATGCCTACACACTGCCAATCACACAATCCAGAAATCATTCAATAACAACCTTCATTTCAACCTTTGTGGGAAATTCCAGAATCTTTTGATTAAATTCAGAGTCGAAGTCGTTTATGACAAACTTCACAAGTGTTGGAAAGGAGGAAACTAGCCCCTTGACCAAAGCCGGATAATTCTCACATGCATCAAAGAAGTCAATACTTAAAGTGTGAAGCATGTGGTGTGTTTCAGCCACGCGATAAAGTTCCTTTGAATTATCTGACTTTGTGCATAAACAATCTCTCAGAGCTTCAACAAACTTCAGGAAGTGAAACAGAAAGAAAAAGAAGGAATCCTCAATGAGACAAAGTTCACAACAAAGTAAGTTAACAGATGCATGAAAAGAATATTGGAGAGAATTAGCATATTTCAAAGCTATCATTTGACTAGTAAAAAATATTACCGCCATATCCATATGAATTTCGTGCAACTTTGGACATAATTTCAACAAATGAATGAAGGCAGAAGAAACATCAACTTCATTATATGGATTTGATAAACAGGGGTACTCCACATTTAGTTCATGTGGTTGTAGTTGTGGTCCCCTGCTTGGGAAGTCTTCAACAAATTTCTAAGAAACCAGCGAATAGTGTTAGACTAGTTTCTGTCAGGCATTCTAAGTAAATATGCAGTCTGGAGTAGTTGGAAAAAACGGACTAACTACCTTGAGAGAAAGGGCATCTAAATTAAGAAAACAGAGAGATCCCAACTCCAAGTGAACTGGTAGAAAACCACGGCACTGGTCATACCGGCAAGACTGGAATATTAGCTTACAGAGTTTCGGTGCAGTTATGTTAAAACTGAACATGTTATCACATCCGATAAGCAACAAACTCTCGAGCATAGGAACATTAACCTTGTAATCTAGAGCATCATTAGGCTCAAATTTAACATTTAGAAAAGAAAGTGAAGTGGCATTTGGTAATATGCAAGGCATATTTAGTGGTCCAACAGAGACTCCACGGAGCCACAATCTCTTGAGCGTTGGACAAGACAATATGCATTTCGGCAGCGAGTATTCATCTTTTCCATTTCGTTCAAAATCAATGTCAAGTTCTTCAACCCCTTTTCGCGTGATCAAAAGGAGCCATTGATCAATGTCAAATGACCGTGATGCAAGTGAAATCCTTCCATGATGAAAAAAAGAAAATTCAAATTTGCGAATATGGCCTTTGTGCTCTGTGAGAACTTTGTTGACTACATACATACCAGCAGAGGTCAAGATATCACTATTTGTAGTTTCAGTTTTTGTCGTTTTGGTCCTGAAATGACTGTGAGCAGATGAATACTTCTTCCAAATGTGATAAAAGAAGCTACAACCAAAATTGAGATCCGTAAGATTGAACCACATCTCTCTCCAGAAGGTAGATAAAACGGCCATTCTAGCAGCTTCTTGAATGTCCAATAATCCCAATATCTTGTCAAGTATTTCCGAGGGAAGTTCACTGAATCGATCCATGCTTCCCGTAGCCATCATCCAAGCAGCAGCTTGAATATATGCAATTAAAGAACAAATATTATCAGATAAAAATCTACTAAGATATGCGAACTTAGACACGGCGATTAAGATAATCTCAATCACATATAGAGATAACAACGCATCAGAAATCCAGATTCAATTCTAGGCGTTTATAGAGATCATATGTTCGTTATCAGAAGCAATAAATTAAAGAGCGAAATCCACTCACATGTACGAAGCTGGATGCCTGGATCCTTGAGTTTCAAAAGCTTAACCACCGGGCAAACCAAGTAATCATTACTCCGCACTTTTTTGTTGACACACATTTACCTTTGTGTAGCCTTTTTTTTTTTTGTCTATATTGACAAAAAGCCTACACAGACAGGTATAAGAGTGTGTACATACAACAAAAACTCACACAGATATGTGTAAAAGTCTGTATACAAAAAAGTGTACCTCAAGTTAAACTCTCAAGGAATAACCTCAAATTAATGTGTGCTACTATACAATTTGGATGAATTTGACTTTGCATCCTACTTTTTGGGTGAAATTGGACTTTGGGCCATTTTCAAAATTTTTTGATTATTCAACCATTTAAATAATCAAAGAACTTTATTCGTCCGAATAATTGAAAATTCTGATTTAAGATATCATAAATTTTGATTTATTTATTTCTTTAAAATTTCATTGTTTATTTGTGATGACATTTTCTTCACAAAAATTTATTAATTTAATAGAAATAAGCATTACTAAGATTTAAAAAAAATAGTAAAATTCGGATGAGTCCTAACAACCCGTTGACAACCTCCTAATCCCGATTTTTAGCTCATGTGTCATTATTTTTGCCTTGCATTTCAACCAATCTTAGTTAAATATTCCACTCCTGCCTTATAATCAATTCTAAATAGATACTCAGACATATGCTAACACTGGAATTAGGGGGTTGTCAAGGGGTCACCAGGACTCGTCTGATTGCTTTTTATAAGTAGATGTATTTATATGACATTTTATTGAGTACATGATTGATGTGAGTTTTCTCGCACTTGAAAAGATTGTAGAATAGTGGTGTAAGTACGAGTATCGTCTCCACAGGGACGGACAAAAGGGAATTAAGAATTAACTAAATTCAGCGATTAAAAAGAAAATAAAATAAAAATGCGTCGTGCGAGATTGGTTGGTTGAATAAAAATTAAACTAATGCGAATGAACGATTAAAATAATAGTGGTTTCTTCTCAATTAACGACGAAGGGAACAAGGATTGATTCCGGGGTTACTAGATTTCTGGCAGATCAGGCCTAATTACATGAAATTAATTCAATTGAGCCTAGCTAATCATTACTAAGTTCTTACCGCTCTCGCGGCGTAGAGTACAATAATTTAGGGGACCAGGCTGATCTCTCATGCGACAAGATCCTAAATTATTGCCGAGACGAGCGAGCTTACGGCCCCTTAATCGCTACTAATCTTTTAGCGAACGATTAAGTGTGTGTGAATGTGTCCTAGAATAAACTAGATCTCTCTTAATTTATTCTACAAGCAATTGTAATTCTAGCCGCGGTTCCAGGTTACAAAAGATATCAGTTAAATTATTCAAACACAAATTAAATGGCATTCATGCAATTAAACCAACAAGAATCTAGCCATCAATCATGATTAACCCCTTCATCAACCCCAAATCCCTGATTAAATTACTCACAATTCATAATTGAAGAATCAACAGAATTGAGATGAATAAAAATAATTGTCATTAATTAAAAAGATGAACTTACAAATAATCCCAGGGTCTTGGAAGAAAATAGCGTAAAAACGGTGTTTAATTCGTCCCTAGGCCTCTCCGTAATGTTCGTAACCATCGAAAAGGGTTAGGGAGGCCTTATTTATAGAAAAAGGACGAAAAATACGAATTTGGGTCGATTTGGGATTTAATTTCGCGTAACCCGGGTCTACGCACGGCGTGCGTCCCCCCTAAGCACGGCCGTGCGTAGCTGGCAGTAGCTACCTTGCTTTTCTCGCCTCAGACGCACGGTGGTGCGTTCCCCTACGCACGACGTGCCTAAAACTTCCGAATTTGACAAAACTTTCTTCATGAAAGTTGTAGATAATGAAGTCTTCTATCCACCCCAATTTGCCGAATGTGATTTGAATCATCCTATCAAGAGATATGATCAAAACGGTGGAAGGTGTCATTCTGAGATCGCAGCAGAGATCATCTGACTTCATCGTCTGTTTTCATCTCCTTCCTCTCAGATTCTAGGAATGATGTCTTCATATGATTTGTAGCTCTTGAAGTTGGATTTCATGTGGACTTTGAATCGTGTTCGTTGGATGCTTAAACAAAGAGATATGCTTGAACGATTGACCAAAGGTCATCCTGAATGCCGTTTTCAAGCTTTATTCATCTTCTTTTTGATCCCATAGCCAATCCTAGAGCTCTTTTGTCATTAAATCTTCATCGTAAACCTACCGGTGACCTCCATAGCTCTCAAATAAACACTCAAATGCATCTCGAATCATCCCGATTGCTCCTCAAGTGTGACACCGCACCCGAATGTACTTGAATTTGAAAGTGGACATGTATTGAATTTCCTAGCGAATAAAATTCGTGTAATTAATTGGCATATTTAATTAATGGGCGATTAATCAAATTATTTATCGGGTCCATTAAATGTGAATGGGCTACCAAATATTTGGTTGGGTTATCATAATAATTATAGGAGCCCAATAAAGTGCCAACCAAAGTTGATAAAAACATTTGGACAACCCGAGTGCTATTTTGGCCCAACCTACCGAAAATAGCAGGAATAATTGGGAGGGACTTCCTGCACCCACTTGGGGTATTTTACACATCAATTAGCCTCAAATAATAGGGGGAGGGACAACCCAACATGGGTTGGTGCGTGCATGAGTGGAGAAGCCTCCTAGAGACAAGAATTTTACACCCCATGTCCTAGTCTTGGACTATTATTGGGAGTGATTGAGTAGAGACTTCTCCCCTACTCCTTGCCTCATCCGCACAAGCCAACCACAAGAGAGGGAGAGAGAGAGCTCTGGAGTTGACTCTCAAAAATCTCAAGCTTGAAGGAAGCATTCAGCAAGAAATCCCAAGAGAAACAAGCTAGGAGGAAAGGTAAGAACACAACTCCTAGTTTAACTGGTTTTATGTCGTATGATTTTAAGAAATCATATGGTGGATTAAACATGAAGTTCTACACGTTTAAAAGTGTAGAATATTGATATAAAGTGGTGTTAATTAACTTAGAAGAGTTGGTGAATCGATAGGAGTCGAAATCGCCGGAAACCGCCACTTAAAAGTGAACTGCTCGAACCTGCAGAATACGAACACCGGGCGGCTTTGGTGAAAGCCGGGCGGCTTTCAGCTGCTGTCCAGGATCTTTGGTTTAATCAGCCAAAAACAAGGATTTATCGGAGGACTTCGCAAAGGCAACTAGTTGAGCACATCACGAGGTGAGGATGGCTGACTATATTGCTTATAATCTTTGGGTTAATTTCGTAGGATTACCTAAAGTAAATAAATGTGATTTTCATGGATTATTAATGATTAATAATGCCTAAATGAAAATATTGTTGTCAATGAATAAAGGAGCATAATATACAAGTTTAAGGATAAATTGTGTATGATTATGTAATATGAGCATATTGGCTTGATGAAGGGATTAATTATAAATATTGTGTTGAAATATAACTATAACTTCATATACGGATATATGAGTGGTTAAAGGTTATATTTTGTATATTTATATGAACTATATTTTCAATGGAAAATTAGTTTGGAAATTGTCTATATGACTTTGAATTGAAAATGAGTTTTGTTGGAATTTATCCGACTAGTATTATGATACTAGTCGGGGTTTTGGAATGAAATATATTAGAATTGATCCAAGGTTTGGATTGTAAATTGTTGAGCCTTAAGTAGTCTTAAGAGATACTAAGGTGGATAAGTGATGCTAGGGGTAGGCCTTAAGGGATACCCAAGATAAAGTGAATAATAAATTGATCCTAGGAATAGGATTGGCCCACGGGTGTATTCGGTAGTCTTTAAGGATTAGCCGATAGAGTATTGGTAATTAGTAAGGACCATGGCCCTTCCCGACTCTAGAGAGCGGGGTTGGATAGCATGGACTTACATCGTGATCACGGGTTAGGGTGGAATCCGAACCGGAGACCTTACGAGGCTCCCGACAGCGGTAACACATAAGATAGGACCCCGAATGGACCTTACCTTCCTACGGGATGATGGGTATGAGTTCAGGGGCGGGATGTTGGACTCCGGCCCGAGAGCCCGGTGAGGCCTCGGAGAGCGGTGACAAGTCTCGTAAAGGATGATAAGACCTACGGGCGGTGTCGTGCTAACGACGGGCATAATGAAATATATGAAATGGGCCGTGTGCCGACAAATAAATAAATTTACTTATTATAGAGATAATAAGTGGGAAATATAAATTATTATTTATATTATGATATCACCCTATTTTGAGGGTCTTAGAAATTAAAACGTTGATTATACTTAGTATAGTTGTCATTGTACTTGTCAAATGCTTCCAAGTACTGACCTCCCCTTCACGGGGGAGGCCACCTCACAGTTTCAGGTAGGGAGTAAAGCTTGCTACCATCGCCCGTTGCTTCGGGGAGCTCAGGGAGAGAAGACGTGGTTCGTGCTTCCTCCGTTCTATTTTTAAAACATTAAATAAATGCTCATGGATATTATTTTGATTAATTATTTGGGGCTTGTACGCCCATGTTGCCGAAGTGTGGCATAAACACTTGTATTAAACGTTTCCGCTGATTTAAATGATTATTTTACATTATGTTTGTTTATGGATGTACTATTGTGAATGATATTCAAGACGCCTAGTATAGTATGGATGAGTTGGACTGCGGTTGACTATTCGTACTGTACGGCGGGTTGTTGACGTGTCCGGTAGGTCCGGGGCGTGACAATTAAGTTGGTATTAGAGACTTAGTCCGTAAACTTCATAATGAAGCTTCAAAATTCTTTTGAAAATGATTTTGAAAACCATGAGCATAAAGTTTTGTACTTATAGAACTTCTGGTACTTGAGTTGCAAGGTCTCTAATTGTTAAGATGGTACCCTTAACAATTGGTATGGCGGTGATTTGAGCCAAAAGATGTCTTTAAGTACCTATCCGTCACTTGACATTTGATACGAGTCTAATGGCTCATTCTAAACTTCTTTCAGAAATGGAGCCAATTGGAAGAATCACTAGGAGGAACCCGACGGGCCGTGTACTGGGTGGATCCGAACGCGGCAGCCGGGGGTCCACTAGGGTGACAAGTGGAAGGGGCC